TCCTCTGGGAACACACTGCACCATAGAAAGGGACAAGGAATTAATAATTTGGGCAGGATCTACCTCACAACGTGAGGCATGATGGTTGCATCTCTTCTAAAGGCATATTTTGCCCAAGTAGATAAGTGATTAATAGAAGAATGCAATACTTTCTAGTTTGGCCACCTGGTTATTTGGGATACCTCATAATTGTGGGAGAACAAAGAGATATTTTTAGCAATCAGTAGTACACCAATTGTAGATTCCATTTGCTGACATAGTTTAGTCCTGTTTTCAACCTGTAAACATGCAAAGACTTGATCAATTGTTTTTTGTACTCCTGCATATTTGACAGAGTCAGAAAAAAAAGAGATGTAAATCCATTTTTGCCTACCAATTTACTCAGAGAAGCAGAAATCAGGGGTATTTCTACCTCCTTTTGGTTCCTTCTTTAGGCAATTTCACAATGGGAGTGTCATCGGATTGAATCTAGTCAATTTCATAATGTTTCCCCTGTTTGCAATGTTGATTAACATTCTTGCGATTCTGCTTATGCTGCATAAGCAGCAGGTATGTTTGTATCCTAAAAGTAAAGCACTGAAGCCATTTGGCAACCCACAAAAGTGGCAAAGGCTGCAAGATCTGTTGTAAAAAGAATTGGGCAAGATGGATTTCTGAAGGAAAACATCATCATTTATATCACGCATTGCGCCCATGTAAATCTGCATTCTAGTATTTTAAATCAAAACCATAGAATTTAAAACCACAATGTTAGGAATAAAATGAATTCCACTTCAAAGGTATTGGAAAACAAAAAAAGTTTTATTGAAGAGTTTGCAAAGGCTGATGGACCCTTCTACTTGCAAGCAAAGGGCCACACCCAGATTAGTTCAGCAAAAACCTTTATATCTGCCTGGTAGAATGCATCACAGCCTTCTTTTCCAGACCCAGTTGATAAGTCCAGTCTTGTCCCATACTTTCCAATCGCCTAGTAAAATTATTAGACACTGCAGCTGTACAATTAATAATTCTCCTTTGTTTTACCTTTATCTTTCCCTTTTCATGTTCGTGACATTCCACCAACTCAGCTCACAATAGGAGCCTGTTTGTCTAAGCTGGATGATACAAATGTTTTAACCCTGTTCCCTTGCCTATCTGTACAATTTAACTAATGCCTGCTTCAAACCAAAAATTGTGTATGTCATCACTTTAGCAAGGTTAAATATGGCTGCATTTTGACTATATGATTATACCTTAAAATATTGGCTCTAAATAGTTTTTATAAAATAAAGTTAATCTATATTATGAAAAATTATAACATATACATTTATTATGTACCTCACAACAGCCACAAAGATGGTTCCTTCTTCAGCTCAGTTTGGGACTGAGGCTGCAGAAACTAAGAGCATTCATAATTAAGCTGTCTACCACTCTACTAATCTTCTCCATTGTCAGTTATTCCCAATGCTTTTAAAAACCTTTGTGGTTTCTCCCATAGACTGAAAGCACATTAAGCACTTTATCTGCATACTTGCAAACCTAAAACTTAAAGACAACATATTCAACTAACCATTGCTCCACCAAAACTTAATTAACAGCTGAGTATAGAAAGCTGTTTCAAAGTGGTCAGTCACTGAACATATAGATAATCCTCAACTTACAACCACAATTGAGTTCAAAATTTCTGTTGTTAAGTGAGACATTTGTTAAATGAGTTTTGCCCCATTTTATGACCTTCCTTGCCATAGTTGCTAAGTGAATCACTGCAGCTGATAAGTTAGTAAACTGGTTAAATGAATCTCACTTCCCCATTGACTTTGTCAGATTATAAAAGGTGATCACATAAACTTGGGGCACAGCAACGGTCATAAATATGAACCAGTTGCCAAGCATCTGAATTTTGATTGCATGATAATGGAAATGTTTCAAAATTCATAACTGTGAAAAACGGTCATAAGTCATTTTTTTCAGCGTTGTAACTTTGAACAGTCACTAAATGAACTGTTGTAAATTGAGGATTACCTGTAGTTTTCTCATTCTGCTTTCAGTGTTTATGAATTAAACAAATCCTCTTCTCTCCTTTCATAAGAAACAGGAGCAGCTAGATCAGACATGTCAAACTTGTGACGTCACGTGATGTTGCAAGACATATCGGGACAATTTCGCCATTGCCGGCAATGGGGTGGGCGCAGCTTCCGGATGACGCATCTGGCCTACAGGCCAGCAGTTTGACACCCGAGCTAGATTATTGGCCTGCTGTCTTCACTTGTTTGTGCATTTGTTCCCATGTATTTGTGTTCATCTGTCTGGCAGTTTACATTCCTTCTAAAAGGCTGCTAATGGGTGGCTGCAAAGAGGATTGATTTTTGAAATCACAGTATTAGCAAATGTACCGAGAAGCCCCAAAAGCCTTCTGTTTTCCTCGTGCCAGATAAAGTTTGTGTGTGTGTATTAACGCCAACAGTGCCTAAGTATTACGTATTACTGAACCAAATGAGAGTTCCATGCTGGTATGGAGCCTCTGAAAGGTGTGGCATTCAAACTATCTTGGCAATTTAATAATAAAAAAAATTGAATTATAAATAAATAAATAAATGCCTCCCAACACAAGATGAGCTTACTGGTGCACAAGTTGCATCTGCTGCTGACATGCAAAAGGGAAGAAGAAAAGCAGCAGATGGCAGCAGCTGATTTACTCTATGTTCAGAAGCTGAGCAGGGATAGGCCTCCATAATACTTTTATGGGTGACCTTTCAGAGCAATAGACTATCTTATAAAGTTGAAAGAAAATCCAGAAGTTGTCACTAGCAAACTATTTTTACATTATTGGCAAGAAAACTACAGAGATTTAAATTATCACAAGCCAGATACTGACTGAATGCTAGAAAAGCTTCCAAAGAGGGGGGGGGGGACAGTTGCATGCTGAAACTGATCACTTAGAGCAGTGGTGGTGAACCTATGGCACATGTGCCAGAGGTGGCACTCGGAGCCCTCTCTGTGGGCATGCGCATCATGCCCCAGAGATGGTAACTGTCCTCTTCAACCAGCTGTCTGCTAACCTGCCAAAGTCCCACGTGGCCGGATGCATCCCAGCACCCATGTGCTTGCTGGCCTTTGTGTGCAAGGGCCGATGGTGTCAGGCAGCAGCCGCCCTGGCCCCTGCCTCGCCTTGCCCTTTGACATGGCACCCCCACCCTGCCTCGCCTCACCCTGCAGAAACAGCCTCCTGCCCATCGCCCCACCTGCCAGAGACCTCTGGATCTTCCCCAACCCTGCCCGGCCCCCACAGGCGTCCCTCCCCAGGAGCAACATTGAGCTGGCCATGCCCACCCTGCCCACGACCACCCATCTGCCATGACCACTGTAGCCATGCCCACCTGGCGGGCCACACCCACCTGGCAGCTACGCCCACCCGGCAACACATATGGGTTTTGGGTTGAGGTTTGGGCACTTGGTCTCTAAAAGGTTCACCATCACTGACTTAGAGAATACTCCCCTCTGACTAGCTGAGCCCAAGTGGAACATAAATAGTTATTAGTCTGAGATGCTTTAATATACATTTCTGAAAGGCTGAATTTGATATTCTAATTGGGGGTCTTCTAATTCTGTGATTCTATGGACGTGTTCTTCTGTCACTCATGAGCCAAGTTAAATTTAAGGCAGACTTTACTTTTGAAGAATAAGGAGGAACTTGAGATTCTAGGCACTTGCAACTTATCAGCTTTAAATTGTACTTAACATCATACAGTCAATGGGAGATGGTACACAACCAGCAGTAGAGGCAGGGAAAGTCTTCAAGCCCCAACTCAGGATGTGGAATTTGTTGCTCAAATGAGTTAAAAAGGGAAAGAAGCTTTGCTCATCTTTTCATGAAACTAACACAAAGCTCCCAAGCTCATTCATTTTTGTGTTTCCTTTTTATTCCCTCCTTCTCCCTCAACAGCACCTCAGTAATCTTGTTGACACAATTGTCAGTTCAGGCAAATGGTGAGTAACATGTATATATTTTCCAATATATCTGAAGAGTGAATAAGTCAATGATTGGGATCTAGAGGACAACAATGCATTTGTGTATTACTCTAGAAAGAATTAGAATAACAGAGTTGGAAGGGAGCTTGTAGGTCATCTAGGCCAACCCCTCCCAAGCAGTGACTTGGATGTGTTAGAAAATAACCTGATGATTAGCACTACATCTTTTTAAAATAACCTGATGATTAGCACTACATCTTACATAGGTTTACACCCCAAATGTGGGCAAATTCAACCTGTCTTACTCAGGGGTGCTATATAAATCCTAAAAACTGGATTAATACCTGTAAAAGAATCTGGATGAGTCTTTTACATCTGTCCATTCTTCACCCTCAAGTTTATAGCATCTTCTGTATCGTCCAACTATTTTTGAGATGAAATACTGTAAAGCCTGTATCCATTAATGTTATTGTAGCACAAAGTTTGGTGATTCCAGATGATTCTGTAGATCTCAGGTTGGGTTCCTGCAGAAGAACTTTATCATACCTGAATTATTTGGGAGCCCTGAAAGACTGGAAAGACTGAATAGGGAGCATGGAAGGGGGCCTTGAGAGGGAAGTCATGACTGAGTCAAATGATCTGTTTATCTACTGACTCCCAATTTCCACAAACAGTGATTCTTGCTCTGCTTTTTCCTCAGCATGTAGTCACCTCATTTTTGCTCCAGGATCCTCTCCTGCTTTGTGCAAAGGCTGGACAGAAGTGCATCAAGAACAGTCTCTCTTCTTTTTACCACCGACCCTATTACAGAAGTCACAAATATCATATTTGGAGCATAATTACAACAATCCAGCCAATCTTTTCCTAATCTGTCTGTTTGTTCAGTCAGTTCCTGTGTCAATAAAGAGAACTTGATTGACTAATCTGAATTCCTCTCCCTGTTGGAAAGATCAGCAACATCTAATGTGGAGTGGAAGACAGTGGAGGAAGAGATGTTCTAGTTTAGAGGATGGCTGGTCTGAGCAGATGTCTTACAATTATCCGCTATGTAGAAAGCAGTTTTGTTCACTCATTTATTGATGGGGTAAGTGGGTGGGGGAATTTGCAGTAGCTCCATATGGGGAGGATGGTATCCAACACTGGTGAGTCGGCGCTGGAAAGAGAACGTTACTTTGTATTAATGTGTGTGTGTGTGTATGTGTCTGGGTATGTGTGTGTGTGTGTGTGTGTGTCTCCCTCCCTCTGTGTGTGTGTGTGTGTGTGTGTGTGTGTGTGAGAGAGAGAGAGAGAGAGATAAAGAAATCCTTGGTTCCCCTGAGCGTCGTCTCCTTTTTCACCAGGAGAAATTTCCTTTTCCTCCTCCTGCAAAAAAAAGAGAGAAACAGATAGGGACAGAGAGGCAAAGGCACAGAGGAAGCTGACCCCAAAAACCCAGTCATCTGCAATATCAAAATGACCCCAAATGTTCTTAGCATCTTTTTAGCATAACTCAATTGCCTACTAGTTTCAGAACCTGCTTCACCAACTGCCTTTCCCAGCAGGCCTTGGGTGCTCATTACTTTTCCAATAAGGCTTTCACTGTTTCTCCAGTTCTGAGCATCAGGATCTGAATCCCTATCGAATCCCAAGAATCAGGCCCCTTTGTGGAGACCTGGGCAACTGGAGGAATGGGGATCCTATAGTGGGGCAGGGAGTGGACAAAGGAGCTGAGGCTCACCTAAATAAAGGTATTTCTATGGTGATGCAGTACATTCTCCTTTTCATAAGTAAGGGGAGCATCACTGTGGTAAAAGCGCAAGCGGTATAACAGCCGTATCCAGTGCCCAAAGACCTTATCCTGCTTGAGGGGGTGTGTTAGAAGTTGCAGATAAAAGGTGCGGCCATTGGCCAGGCGGACCTTGAGCTGGAACCGTGACTCATCATGGACATAGAGACGGACGAATTTCAAGGGCAGAAGCCTGGGGAAGGAGGAAAGGGAAGATATATATGGATAGGAAGAAACTGGAGAGAGAACTTTGAAGCCAGGGTGTCTATGGAGATTCTCAGTCATCCAAGTGATTTTTCAAGAAGCAACTGGACTTAGTTTTTCTTTGATGACATTTCGCTTCTCATCCAAGAAGCTTCTTCAGCTCTGACTGGATTTATAAATTCCCTACCATCCAGTCAGAGCTGAAGAAGCTTCTTGGATGAGAAGCGAAACATCTTCAAAGAAAACAAGAAAGTCCTATTGCTTCTTGAAAAAGCACTTTTGGAACTTAAAGTCAGAGCTGTCCATGGGAGGGTCAAAAAAAAAATCAAGATGCTGACTGCAACAGCCTAATCAAAGCTGCCATCTTGCACTTTTTGAATCATCCCCCTCCCCAACACTCCTGCTTAAAACCAGAGGCACACAGATCTTTCTAGACTTAGGTTTCTATTCAGCCTCTGAGTGATGTGCTCAGGGCTGATCTCCAAAATGTTGTGTAGAGATAGCAGAGGAAGTAGAGGATGACCAAGGCAAAACATAATTTAATGTAACTATTGTTTAAAAACTAAACTGAGGTAATATAAGGGCTCTCCATACATTTAATAATTTTCCCCCTTCTATCACACTAAAATTTAGCATATGGATGCATTTTTCGAGATGAACCAGAGACAAAGCTTTGGGGGTACATCCCTGTAAGATGGTGGTGTGGTGAAAGGCACTCACGCAAACAGCTGCAGCTCCTCATCCGGGAAAGGCAGTGCTTCAGGGCACTGACATTCACACCGTTCTGTTAGGCAGGGAACTGGTCGTGCCAGCAGCATAAGATCAGGCATCTCTAGGAATGAGCTGCTGGCAGCAATGCCCATGGTGACTCTGCTGGCAATATCTCCTGCCTTGGTTACCTGGAAGGGAAACATTTATTTTGAGGGCTTCATTGCACTTTTACGCTGACTATTACAAGAGAAAGCTTTGAAATGGTCTTCATATAAAAACTATTAAACTAAAACAGAGAGTCAAAAGATTGATAACTAGTCTATGGCTTGTACAAGCCCAACTGGGATACATACATTAATAAACAATAAGCTCAATTAACAACAGGCCAGAAATCTGTACAAAACAAGACAGAATTAGAAAAAGGGCATCTCTTTATCCAAGTCACTGAAAATTTGCCAAGTTTTTAAGACTGTTAAATAAAAATTAAGTCAGGGATAGAGATATTGTGCTCTTCGAGATATTGCAGAACTATAATTCTCAGTGTTCCTTTTCATTGGCTACACTGAATACAGATGTTTCAAGTTATAAATGAGCAATATCTGGAGGGCTGAAGCTCAAGCAATGAAATCAAGCAATGGTAATTTTAGGAATGAACTCAATTCATCTACTGAGGATTTATGACACGGTCATCTAAGGCAGTGATGGCAAACCGTTTAGAGACCGAATGCCCAAAACCTGCCCCCCCACCCCCATCCCCGCTCAGCCCTGCCCACTGGACTACCCACCTCCACCGCCCGCCACAGATCACCCAGGCAGCCTAGCAGCGCCATGGCGGTCATGCCCTCTGCCCATGCCCCGCAGCATCATCTGTACGCAACGGGGCACAAGGGTGGTGTCTTGTCCCCGCTGTCCAGCTATCATGTCCTTGGCTCCGCTGCTTTGTGTGAGCCGCACCCAGGGGCAACTCTCCTCCGGGGAGCTGCTGGTGAGGAAGGGGCCGTGGGAGGAAACGGGGCTGGGGAGACGGTGCATGTGCCCATAGAGAGGGCTCCGAGTGCCACCTCTGGCACCCGTGCCATAGGTTCACCACCACTGATCTAAGGCAATGGCAACCATTGTATTATATATTGTTGTCAAGACTATCCATGAATTCAACTGAAATCAAGTTTGGCTCAATGTCTTTATTGAATAGAAATTCTCAGTTATTTTTCTTCACCGACCACTTGTAAATTGGTGATAGATGCAGAAAAATCATTTTGGTTCTAAAAATCAGTGGCAGCTTTGTCTATCCAGTGCAAAGGATATGCTTGTTTAGTCAACAAAGTTTGCTTAAACTGGTATATTTTGTCAGATTTTGCTTTGGATCAGGTTTAGCATTTATTCTGATTAGGCTAAGTACATTAATCAGTTACATTATTATCCCACCTTTTTACAAGACCTTAGACGGTGTAAAAAAGACTACATCCATACAGTAACAACTCTGTAACACTGAAAAAACTTGGCCTCAAATCATTCAATGAACTCCCTGGACATCCTGACCCCACATTTAACCAATAGAACAAATTGGCTTCTTCTCAATTTCTGTATACTTCTTATAGTTTCAGAATTTCTGATGTAGACTAGGAATCTCAAATGTATCTCCTACAGTCTACATGCAGCTGTCCATCACATCTTATTGATAGGTATAGCAGGAGAGAATATTAAGGCAATAGATATTCTTTGCCAGGTGCTATAGATTCTTCCTGCTTAAGAAAACATGACTTTGGCTTTGCCTCCAGCTGAGAGACAGCTGTATTCCTAATCTTGTTATGGTTCAGGCCAAGGCTTGTCAGTCTGTCATTGGTGGCAAAGAATTGTGATAGGATGGTTGCAGGGATCTCTACTTGCTTACTGGCCATTATCTTTGAACTCCCTGCTGGTAGCCTGTGCCTACCCCAGCCAATAAAGTGAAGGAAAGGCCAGTGTTTCTCTAAGGACCTGTTTTGAGTCTGCAGCAGTCATTAGATGGGGCACTTCAAGAAAGGAAAACAGAGATAGGAAACATAGTGGTGAGGATGCCTTGGAAACATAGCTGGGAAGGATATGTATTTATGTGACAGAATAAGGCTGTACTCTTGGTGAGACCATTGCAGCCACTCTGCTATGAGGATCTGAGGCAAAAAAAAAAAGTGTTGCATTCACCTCAAAGCTCTCCTTGCTGATCACCCAGGAGTTGCCCTCAGATGGAGTCTCAGTCTTTCCCCTTCCTGGTACCTAAATTACTCCTTCCATCCCATTTGATGAAAGGGATGACAATCTCACTGTGTAGGTGAAGCTTAAAAAAATACACCTGAATAATATTTTATTCTTTGCAGAATAGAAATAATGTTCAGGCATACTTCTCTCTTCTGAGGTGATAAATTCTAGTAAGTTATAGGTAATTAGCATAAAGGTTATAAGCCATTATTGAACAACCATCACCAAAACAAACAATGGTATAATAGTTAATGAAAAATGCTGCCAAATAAGTGATAAAGGTAAAATAAGGTAAAAGTATCTCTTTTTGAAGTATAGTTTTTTCATTTAATAAATTTATATTTAATGAGGTATTTTTTTTTCCAATCTTACTAGAGATTCAAAATACAATAGGGCTTCAATGCTACGAGCCTTGGGCTAAAGAACAGTCCATTGAAATGATTTGAGATTCCTGATATAAATTCTGTCAGGGGAAAAATCCATTCCAAATAGTCAAAGAAACAGAAGGATGAAGAGAAGACAGATATATGCCAAAACTCCCTTCATAACTATCTTATGTTGATGAAAGTTCAAAGACTGCCTGCAGCAGATCAGGTTATATAAGGCTGACTTAGGAGAAAAATCACAATTCTCATTGCACAGAGGAGAGACATTTTAGGGACAGCAGGAAACAATGTAGACTAATGCTGAATTTCCTACAACCTGGTGCCCCGCACCTCTGTTGAACTGCAATGCCCATTATCCCACATAGTCACTAAGATACTACTGAGCTGTTCACATGTATTTCAGTAAAATCAAATTTCTAAATAAAGCTTGGGACATAATTGAAGTATAACATGTTTAAATGACTTTATTCTTACGCTTTATTGATTTTTTCTTAATTAGATATCTTAAGTACATTTGATTCCTGGAAACATATTAATGGCATACAAAAATGGCTTTGCTTATTAAATATAATTCTATATGCTATATCAGATTCCAGTTTGACTTAAGGCATTTGATTTGCTTCTTTAATTCAAAAAAATATTAGTCAGTAGAAACTAGGTGTAAGGATTCCTAACTTTTATCTAGATGGGTAAGAAAATATAGCTTTCTCTAACACAGGGGTCCCCAAATCCCGGTCCGTGGACTGGTATCAGGCCGCGGCATATCAGCAACCAGTCCGCACAAACAAGCAAAGCCCCATCCACGAGATGCAGGCAGCACACAATACCATGCACCTAAAAATGTAATAACACTCCTCCCCCAAGCAAATTAGATACATCTTACCAGTCAAGAACACTGTTTTAGCTTTATATATCGCAATATAAGCCTAACAAATTGATTTTTTCATGGAACCTTGTCTGATTCAAGGAGTTAGAACTTGCTGCTTTTTGGTGGAGTTTCACAATCTTATGCCTCAGTTAATACAAGCCTGCTAGGGGGCTAAGTTGACTGGGTGGAAATAATTTATTTATCCATTCCATTCTTAAGTTTCTCAAAGAATTTTATGGACAGTATAGAAAGGAAAATAACAGTTATAACAATAAAATAACATTACAGATATGTACATTTCTAACGCGCCTGTGGGGAAAAAAATATATAAGCCGCGTGTTACAATCCCAATTTCCGTTGTTAAACAAGATGGTTGTTAAATAAATTGTGCCTGATGTTATGACTTTTGCCATAGTCGTTAAGCAAGTCATCGTTGTTAAACAAATACAGTTTCTCCCATTGGTTTTGCTTGTCAGAAGCTGGCTGGAAAGATCACAAATGGCAGATCACATGATCCCAGGACGCTGCAACTGTTGTACATACATGCCGGTTACCAAGTGCTAAAATTCTGATCATATATCCATGGAAATGCTGCCATGGTTGTAAGTGTGAGGAATAGTTGTAAGTCACTTTTTTCAGTACTGTATATAACTTGAAGGGTTGAATGGATGTAAATCAAGGTAATCTGCACATGGTGTTGAAAAAAAGTATGTAGCAGTTACCAAGTAAACAATCTCAAGGATTCCAGTATTCACAGAAAAGACTACACTTGCCCTTTTTCATTTCATAAGAGCATCGGAGGAAGCCTTGGGGTTCATATTTTCAGAAGTAAATACCAGGGGATATTTTTCTAATTTCTTTCCCATTCTGCTTCACCTGTAAAAAATTGCTTTCATACAGATGACAATCTTTCAGAGTGCCATATTCCCCGCTGTCCAGGCACCTCCGCAGGTCTCCCATTTCAAAGCTTGGATATCTGGAGGACACAAAAAGATCCAGGCTACTGTGATGAAGACTCTGTGGGGAGAACATGAAGAGAAAATTTAAGGGAAATATCTAAAAGGATTGCAAATTTCTATTCTAAATAAATGAAAAGGAGAGCGGCTAGGAAAGCCTAAGATATTTTGTTGTTTGAAGTGAAGAACAAGATGATTACCTTTTTCATGTATAATAACAGTTAGCAAATGAAATTTACAGTTATTCCTTAAGTTATGACTGTAATGGAGCCTGCCCATCACAGCTGTAATTCATGACAATCATTATGTTGGCCAGTCATGTGACTGACCCAATTTTAAGACTCCTTTTTGCCATGGTTATTAAGCAAACATATGATTTGCTGTGGGTTGGCTTTGCTGAAAACTGGAAGTAAATGCTCTAAATGCAGCCCTGTTGCCTAAATGCTCAAAGTGAGGTCTGTGGGGAGAGGAGGGGGGAGGGGGGAAATCACCAAAATTTGGTCGTAAGTATCTGCCAAGTAAGTCTGTGGTAACAGTCGTAAATTGAAGGCTCCTGTACTTCAATACTGGCAATAGGGCTGTATTTTTCATTCCACCCAAGGACAACAGCAAAGACCTTCTAAAATGTATGGGTTGGTTCTCTAGCCCCTCATTTCTGGTCCCTGTGTCTCCCAATATTCACCACCTAAGGTAGCTATCTCACTTCCCTTAAAAAAAAGAGCTGGTCCTGAGAAAAGCATGTGTGCATTTAGAAATTCCTCAGTGCAATCCCTATCATCTTCTGTTTAAAAGTTAGATCTGACAACAATTGTTGGGCTCTCTCCAATTGTTGGAGAGAACAATTGTCAGCCAGTCTTGAAAAGTTTGGACTCAATTGCGACAGACAACTGTTTTGTATGAATGCCACACTCGCTTGTGGATCATCTGTTGGAGGGCTGATGGTGAGGGGGCTAAAGCAAGCAATGAGTAGGCACACGTTACTTTCCAGACATTTCCTATTTCTTCATTCTCATTCTTTTTCCTCTTTAATAGTTTAGAGCAGCGGTTCTCAACCTGTGGATCGCGACCCCATTTGGGGTCGAACCACCATTTCATGGGGGTCGCCAAACAAGGCTGTCCGCCATTTTTTTTCCCGTTTTCTTTAGCTGTGCTACTCCCTCTTATTCTATTGGCTTTTGAAAGCCAATAGAATAGATTCTCTTGAATAGAGTCTAATTCTATTGGCTTTCAAAAGCCAATAGGAATTGTCCAGGCTGTCTCTGCCCTGCTGAGTCCGCCAAAAGTCCCAGTCTGCAAACGGTGCTGCAAGTTGTCTGCAGCGAAGGCGAGCTGTCTGGAAGCTTCCACCCCTCCCTGCTGAGCAACTACTAAAAATGTAAGTAAAAGAGGGCCAGGGGTGGGAGATGGGAGGCCGGCGGGCGCAGGGAGGGTTGCTGGCACGCGTGGGGCCCGGCGGGTGCCTTACCTCCCTTGGGCTGGGCCAGCTGGTCGCCCAGCCAGTGGTCGCCCTGCGCCGTCGCTGCCCCTTGCCAGCTATGCCCCGGCCGGCGCAGGGGGCGGCACCATGCATGCGCAGCGCTCCCGGGCAGGGAAAGTCCTCGACTTACAACCAGTTGGGTAGTCCTTGACTTATGACCGGTTGGGGGGTCACGGCATTAAAAAGGTTGAGAACCACTGGCTTAGAGATAGAACTTACAAGAGACCTGAAGTCATCTCTTACATAATGATTTTTAAATTAGGTTGAGGGCAACAAGTTGTTCATCTAAAGCCTAAATAGATGAAGAGACTAGATTTATACATTGTGGTAACTTAAATTGTGTTTTATTGGTTATATCCTACTGTTATGTCCTGAGCCTGTGGAAGCAGGCTCGAGGCATTGCAACAGTCCTGGGCAGGTGCAAGCTGCCCGGGACCAGACTGGCTGTTGCCAGCACGTGCGCGCATGCGCGGGTGCTGGCGCGCCAAATGTTGCAGATTGGCCCAGGAATGGCCTATAAAAGAGGCCGGGAGATTTGGGCGTTGTCGGCGTCTTGTAACCAGTATGATGAACAGAAATAAAGAACAGAAATAAAGAAGTTCCTGAGAACTACAACTGCTTCTCGTGTCATTGCCATTTCGCGAAGGATGCAACACTGGCGACGAGGATGGGATTGCCTTACATCGACCGAAGACAGGTGTAAGCTTACCCGAGAGAGTCCTGAGCGGTAGGAATGGCGTTGACTCGGCAGCTAGCCGCCAATCCAGCGAGCATCGGGGGTAGGCTGGCTGATAGACCCTTTCTTTTCTACAAAAATGGCAAAAGTAGGAAGACTTTCAGAATTCGACGTCTCGCATCCGGAAAGATGGGAGTCTTACGTAGCCAGGGTGGAAAACTATCTTAAAGTCAACCAAGTAAGAGAAGATAGTTTGAACGCCGCCACCCTGCTGTGCGTTTGCCGTCAAGACGCATTCGAAATTGCTGAAAACATAGCAGCACCCATACCTCTAGAATCTGTTAACTACATAGATCTCAAAAAACTACTCAAGGAACACTTCCAGCCCAAGCTGTCCGTCATCGCTTGGCGCCACACCTTCGAACAGAGGGATCAGCGACCCAGAGAATCAGCCAAAGAATACATTGCTGCGCTGAGAAAAGCCGCTAAACACTGCGAGTTCAAGGATCTAGAAGAACGGCTGAGAGACAGATCTGTATGCGGACTGAGGCAGAGAGAATTACAGCAGAGACTTTTTGCTAAAGAAGACTTATCATTCCAAGATGCCTTGAGAGAGGTTACTGCAGAAGAGGCAGCGGGCAGCGCCATCAAGAACATGCGGCCGATCAGAAGCACTCCAGAGGCTGCGTCCGTGCACCAGGAAGGAGCCCAAAGGAACCCAGAGGAGGATCCTGACGATGAAGTAGATCGTCTCTACCCCACGAAAGAAGGGAAACAGAAAGGAAGCTCTTCAGCTCTCCCCAAGTGCCTCGGTTGTGGAGGTCGCCACAAGAGGACCGACTGTAGATTCCGCTCCACTATCTGTAGAGCATGCGGAAAGCAGGGACACATTGCAGCTGTGTGTCTGGGCCATCAGAAGGTACAACCTCAGGAAGAATTGCGCCTGAAAGGTACCAGGGTTCCCAGCCAAAACAGGGTGGGGTTCTGCACTTCGCGAAGAAGCATTTACAAGACAGACATACATAAGCCCATCAAGAAAAAGCTGTCACTTAAAGTGAAGCTACAAGGGGTTCCATTGGCTATGGAACTGGATACGGGGTCTGCACTCTCGATCATTTCCATGTACACGTTTAGGAAGATTTGTTCTGGCAGCGGATTTCAGGCCAAGCTGAGGCCTTCCGACATTGTGTTAACGGACTTTCAAAACTCCAGAGTGTGTGTTAAGGGGGAGGCCACCCTTAACGTACAGTATAAGGATTTTGAAGGTCCACTAGATGTAGTAATAATAGGGGGGGAATGAACGAGTCTCATAGGACTCGATTGGTTTGAGGCCTTGGGAATACATGTCACAGGGCTCAATAGTTTGCAAACACTTGACCTACAAGAAGTCTGCAAAGAATTTGCAGATGTTTTCAGCCCCCAGCTGGGCACGTACAAAGGACCCCCTGTGTCACTGAAGTTAGACCCCACTGTCACCCCTATTAGAATCAAAGCAAGAAGGGTTCCTTTTGCTTTAAAGGGTAAAACTGACACTGAATTAGACAAATTGATTCAGCAAGGAGTCTTAGAACCTGTCCTTGGGAGACCCCCATTGTCACGCCTCTTAAGGCAAATGGGGACATTCGCATCTGTGCAGATTACAAATGCACTCTAAATAAGGCATTGCAGCAACATGCCTATCCTGTCCCTGTGGTCAGTCATATCCTGGCCTCCCTCAAGGGGGGGGCGCGTTTTTGCAAAGCTTGACCTAGCTCAGGCGTATCAACAGCTGCCTGTTGATGCTGCTGCTGCTGTAGCTCAGACCATTGTGACCCATAGGGGGGCATTCAAGGTAAACAGGTTACAATTTGGAGTAAATGTCGCTCCTGGAATTTTCCAAAGCATAATGGAAAACACACTACGGGGTATACCAGGGGTTTGCCCCTATTTTGAGGATGTCTTAATTGCAGGGGACTCTACACACAACTTAGCTGAGAGATTAAGGGCTGTTCTGCTGAGGTTCAGGAAAACGGGCCTCAAACTTAAGAAGGACAAATGTAAAATTGGGGTGCCTTCTACAGATTTTCTGGGATTCAAAATCGATGCTACCGGTATTCACCCTGCTGAATCCAAACTGGAAGCCATTATGAATGCCCCTAGGCCAAAGTCCAAGGCCGAACTACAGGCTTTTCTGGGCCTTCTGAATTTCTATAACTCCTTCCTCCCAAACAAGGCTAGTGTAGCCGAGCCTCTTCACAGGCTTCTGGACAAACAGGCAGTGTGGCAGTGGTCACAAAAACACGAAGCAAGTTTCAATGAGGTCAAGGCCTTACTCACTTCTAACAGTGTGCTTGCACATTTCAATGAATCCCTTCTTGTGTGCATCGCTTGTGATGCTTCTCCTTATGGGGTGGGAGCCGTACTAAGCCACCTCAGATCAGACGGAACTCAGGTTCCTGTTGCATATTACTCCAGAACCTTGTCTTCTGCTGAGCGAAATTATGCTCAAATAGACAGGGAGGCTTTAGCTGTTGTTGCTGGAATCAAAAAATTCCATGATTTTTTATATGGCAGGCATTTCACGGTCTTCACTGACCATAAGCCTTTGTTGGGACTGTTTACCACACATAAACAAACTCCCCAGATCATCTCCCCCAGAATGCTGAGATGGTCTATCTTTCTGTCTGCCTATGATTTCTCCTTACTTCACAAACCTGGGAAGGAAATGCGCCATGCTGATGGCCTCAGAAGATTACCCCTGCCGGTAATAGAAGCTGACCCTGCACCAACTATCAATATCCTCTCCATTCAGGCCTTGCCTGAGTGTCCTTTAGATGCCAGGGATGTGGCCGCTGAATCAGCCACAGATCTCACACTTTCACGTGTCCTTTCTTGGGTTTTATCTGGATGGCCAGAGAGCTGTCCTGGCACTGAGTTTCAGAGTTTCTGGTCCAAAAGGAACGAATTGTCCACCTTCCAGGGTTGTCTGCTTTGGGGAAGCAGAGTTGTCATTCCTACCTCAATGAGGACTAGGGTCTTAGGTTCCCTCCACGAGGGTCATCCTGGCATTGTACGCATGAAGGCGCTTGCGCACAGCCATTTGTGGTGGCCTGGGTTAGATAGAGACATTGAAGCTAAGGTGCATGCATGCCACCTTTGTCAACGCTCGTGCCCTGAAATGCCCCAAGCTCCTGTACATAAATGGGAGGAAACACAGTCTCCATGGTCTAGGGTGCACATTGACTACGCTGGGCCTTTTCAGGGTCAATTCTTCTTGGTCCTAGTTGATAGCCATTCAAAATGGCTTGAGGTTGTACCTGTCTCTTCCACCACCACTGCAAAGACTATTCAAGTACTGAGGGGGATTTTTGCTGCACACGGGCTTCCAGACGTCCTCGTGTCTGACAATGGCCCTCAATTCACTTCTTCCGAATTCCAAGCTTTCTTACAGGCCAACATGATTCGTCATGCCACCTCTGCGCCTTTCCACCCGTCCACCAACGGTATGGCTGAACGCATGGTTCGCATCACCAAGGACGCCTTGAAGAAAATTACCTATGGAGACTGGCATCACAGGTTGGCTGACTTCCTCCTTTCTTATCGCACCACACCGTCCACTTCTACCGGGAGGAGCCCAGCTGAACTTCGTTGGGGGCACAAACTGATCACCAAGCTTGACCGGTTGCATCCGGACAGACTTCCTTCCACACTCACACGCCCCGAGGCACCTAGACAACTGCTTGTGGGTGCCTCGGTTAGGACTCATAACTATGGGCCTGGCCATTTATGGGTCCCCGCCACTGTATCCAGAGTCACAGGTCCTCTGTCTTACGAGGTGTCTCTGGACAACGGTCGTGTCCTGCGTCGACACATCGACCAGCTCCGCACTAGACGGGACCTTCCCACTGAGACTCCTGGGTCTTTTCCAGGGGGGGAGGGGGACCCTTTAGTACGGGCTGCTGCCCATCATTAACGAGGAGGCTACAGACAGCCCATTCCAAAGTTCCCCGAGTGCTCCAAACAGGAATTCACGGAGCCCAACTAGAACTCAGGCACCAGTGCCTACTCCAGCCAGGAAGTCACCCCGGGGGCATAATCACTACTCACCCGCATCACTCAGTACTCCAGTCAGGGAGGATATCCGGGAGTGTCCAAACAAATCACACCCTGCAAGAGAGCTGGCACACATTCCCTCTAGTTGGCCCGACACTACCCCTGTCCCTAGAAGGGGGCAAGCACACAGGGAGGTGGTCGAGGAACCAAATCCCGACTACAATGACTTCACTCAGGGGACAACTGAGTTTTGGGACAGCACTGAAAACCCCACAAGCCCAGGGACAGAACGGGAACAAGGGGAAAGACAACCTCCTGACGGGTCTTGGACGGACCTGGGAGGTTCTACAGAATCGCCCAATAGTGACAGTCACTTAAGAGGGCCAGAGAGCCTGCAGCTAGGCAGGACAACCAGGTCAAACAGAGAAAGAAGCCCTGGCCTGACGAGCCCGGTGGGCAAGCAAGGAGGCCAGGCATTGGAGCACAGTCCTTGGGATTCACCAGGGTGTAACAGGGGGGACAGGTATGCATCACCCCTCAGTCAAGGGGTACTTGGCAGGTACCCAGAAGTCAGGAGGTCACAGAGAGCCAGAAGATCTCCTAAGTATTTAGAAGATTTTGTAACTCTACTGGCAAAACAGAGTTAACAGAGAACATTCCTGTACACATAGGAAAATACAACACTGGGAATGATAGAAGCAGAGGAAATAACTGGCACTAGGTAATATGGGCACCACGCTCGCATTAGGTTGTATGTTATTATTGTATGATCATAGTCTTAGCCGGGGGGGCAGGGTGTTATGTCCTGAGCCTGTGGAAGCAGGCTTGGGGCATTGCAACGGTCCTGGGCAGGTGCAAGCTGCCCGGGACCAGACTGGCTGTCGCCAGCACGTGCGTGCATGCGCGGGTGCTGGCACGCCAAATGTTGCAGATTGGCCCGGGAATGGCCTATAAAAGAGGCTGGGAGATTTGGGCGTTGTCGGCGTCTTGTAACCAGTATGCTGAACAGAAATAAAGAACAGAAATAAAGAAGTTCCTGAGAACTACAACTGCTTCTCGTGTCATTGCCATTTCGCGAAGGACGCAACACTTACCAAAAAAAGGAGAGCATCTTTGTAGCTCAAAGTTGAAATGAGGAATCCTTAGTGCTCTCTGAGATTGGGTAATGAAATGGGCTGCAGGAAAATAACCAAACTAGGTTGCATCATCAGTGTTAGTAAGAATTGGAGTTTGCTCTCAAATTATATTCTAGTGGCTTGGTGGAAGTGGTCTTGGAGATTCTTTGATTGGACTGTTTAGTGTTCACTTGTTATGCATCAGAAAGTGCCTGACCACTGAACCCAATATAGCACAATCAACATAAGCCACAAAAAGGATAACATTGCCATACAACAAAAACATCTCAGAAACCACCAACAGACTATTACAAGAACTATGGAATCAGCAAAGCACACAAATCAACTAAAGCCCTCCCAAAACATCCTAGGTAAACCAAAAGACTAAGCAGCCCCAGAAATAAAAACAGGAGTCATCTACATCATACAATGTGAAGACTGCAATAGCCACTACATAGGACAACAGGCAGAAGATTAGCAGCACATATCCATGAATACCAACTAGAAGTTAGAGACATGATGAAAACTCTTTAATTTCACAACATATAGACAGATTTAACCATGGTTTCAACTGGGAAACTGTGGAGCATCCTAGACCAAGCCAAGTCCAAAAACACTAGACAAATGCTGACAAATTGGCCACCAATAGACACATAGATATAAATAACATCTACATATTGTGCAAAAGAGACAATCAACAAGCCACAAAGGGAACAAAAAGATCAAAATATCTCTCCACCAGCAATCAACTACCTGATAAGCATAGATTAATATCAACATCAGACTAACAATCAAGAAGTAAACAATACCCCAATCAAGGAATTGCCAAATAAGCTAACAATAAAAGGACCAACCAAAGAACGTCCAAGATTACTTCCGCCAACACTGACAGAATACCAATTGAGCACAAACCCCACTACTTTTACCTAATCTACAAGACTAGCAATACCACTTAGACTTATATACCGCTTCACGGTGCTTTACAGCTCTCTCTAAATTGTTTACAGAGTCAGCATATTGCCCCCAACAATCTGGGTCCTCATTTTACCAACCTCAGAAGGATGGAAGGCTGGATCAACCTTGAGCCAGTGAGACTCAAACTGCCAAAGTGCTGGCAGTTGGCAGAATTAGCCTGGAATACTGCATTCTAACTACTGTGTCACCAGGGCTCTAGGTAAAGAAAGAGAACAACCAAGCTCCGAAAGCACCAAGGGCCCCTAATTTTATCTTAGGTTGTTGTTTGAATTTAGCCATAGCTTGATTTGAGGTAGGTCACAACAGGATAATTTTGACTTGTTTCTTAAATTTACCTCAACCTCATGTTACAATGCAGTTTTGTCAATACAATAACCTGAATGCAGAGCCTAGGGAAAAAGATTGAATACTTAGCAGCCTTTCAATTAAGTAATTAATTCCATTTACTAGGGGAAGAAAAATTGTATTTGACTTAACAAAATAAACCTCCTTTTCAATCATATTTGGGAAGCAATGAAGGTAAAACAAAGCAAAAAAAAAAATTAAATGAAGCAATTCCCTACAAGTGTTGATTTTTTGTGAGTTCTCCTCTTGCAAAAAGGGAACAGAAAAAAACATCCTTAATTGATTGCATGAATTGCAAATCTTGGAAAAGCAGAATCATAAATAATCACAACCAGAATATTTCTTATATCAAGTTAAAACTTTGGATTCTTGCTAAACTGAAAATGGAGACTTTCAACCAATCTACAATATTTTAGCATAACCAGACTCAAGAGTTTTGGGATGATATATTAAACCAAAGAGCAGCTGCCACCATTGCTTGTGAATAAAAGTTGGATAGGGAACTGTTGTTTTTTCTCGCAAACACACAGTATTGCAAACAGTACAATATTTATTTTAATGATTATTCTATTTACTAAGTAAGGGAGCATAGCAGGAGACCCTAGTATAGCTAGAGAAAAGTGAGGATAGAAAAGGAGAGATAGTTCGCTCCATCCCCATCTTTTGATACAACTGATGCTCTACTTGGGGGCATCCAATATATTCCACTTCTTTTTGCAACAGTTGTGGCATCTATTATGTTAAGGATGATAGGTCATACAAATCCAAGATAATCTTCCCTTTTTTTGATTTATGTCTAGAAAACTGCAGGTTATTTCATCCTTTCATCGCCATCAAAAATAGAGGAAACAATGGCCAACCGTTGTGCAAGAGTTTAAAGGATGAGAAGCAAGCAAATTCATTTGGAACCATGTCTCACTGAGCTCGATGGGACCGATTTTCCGAAGAGTGTACAATTTCTTCCCCATCACTCGAGTCGGCTCCCTATGTCATCGGCACCCATTTCCTCTCAGCTCTTGCAGTTGCAAGACAAGCCACCGCCACGTGCGGCGCGAGAGGAAACTGAATACTTAAGAGAGGCGATAAGCCGCAAGACGCCGATGATTAGCTTTCTTTCGGCCCTTGAAAGCTGTACTTCGGTCCCAGAGTGCTTTGCGGTTGCACTGCCTGTTTGTTAGATCACGTGATTCGTGGAGGGAGCTATGGCGGCTGCTGAACGACCGCTCTGCGTCTGTCTCCTGTCTGTCCTCTCCCTCCTTCTTTCCCCCCCGCCGCAAGTTTTTGTCAGGGCCTCTGCAGCCTGTCCGGGAGAGGCAGTTGTCAAGGTAAGCCTCACTATAATATGGCTGAGTGCGGAGCTGATTTTGCTTGTCGAAAGACAAGCTCCTTAATATCCAGGACGTAAGCTGAGCTAGACTGGACCAAACGCCAAAGTAGTGCAGAGGGGTGTTTTCATAGATGCCTAAGGAATTGTAAAAAAAAATAAAAATAAAAAAAATCTTCATTGTAGTGCTGCTTCTGAGTCTGGATGCTTCATTTAGCCACAATTAATGTTGCAGATAGTTTTTCCCTTCACCAGCACTATTTCAGCTGGTGGATCGCTTTGCATCTTGTGGCAGTAAGTCCCATAGTTTAACTATGTACTAAGTGATGCCTGTCTTGAATCTCCTAACGTGCAACTTCATTAAATGGATTGGGGTCTGGAGTTATGAGAGGTGAAAAATGTATATATGTTCTTCATGAATCGTTCTTTGTGGCTGTATTTTCTTTTAATAAGAGATGCAGCTTCATGATCTCTGTCATTAACATTCATAAGCTGAATAATAACTTTAGGACTAAATCACAGTGCATCAAGTATATTGTATTTTGATTTAGGGAAGGAAGCAGCTTAGCAATTGTGTAAGAGTTAATGAAAGACATTTGGACCTAAGTGCCATCTTGTCATAAAATATTGAATATGCTTATTAATTGTATGTAAAATGGCTGTTTTTTGGGAGCTCAACATGGATTACATGGGGATCTCCTTCATTTTATCCCTACAACAACCATCCTGTGAGGCCAGGTTGAACTGAGAGAGAATGACTAGCCCCAAGTCATAACTATGAATGGATTGAATCTTGAGTCCCTATGGTCTTTCTCAAAACATTTTAATCATTAAGCCTCACTGGGATTTAAAGGTTGGTGGATAGCTGCCTAATTTATTCTAAATTATTGCTGATACAGTATATCCAGCTCAGCAGATCTGAAAGACTAGGCTAGGGATAGAGCATCACAGAGCAGTGGTCCCCAACCTTTTTTGGCACCAGAGACCAGTTTCATGGAAGACAATTTTTCCACGGGCCGGAGGGCAAGGGAAATAGTTTTGGTTTTGTTCACTCACCTACTACTCACCTCCAGTTGTGTGGCCCGGTTCCTAATTGGCCATGGATAGGTAAGGACTGGGAGTTGGAGATCCATTTTAGAAAATATCTATGTGGTTGCTAGGAATAAAAAAGAACTTGATGGCACATAATATCTAACTCAGAGTTATATTCACTAATCTGAAACAACTCTCCAGGATTTCAGCAGGAGAATTTGTCAGTTAATTCACCAGATGAACTGGAAACTTCCTTAACTGCTTGAAAAACTATGTCTCTCTTACAAATGCATTATTTCCTTATCTTCTTGCAACAGTCTCACAGGTTTGGATAACAGGAGCTTCCCAAAATACTGGAAGATATTTTATGTAAAAATTCAGTCAAAAGAACATGTGGTGAATTTGAGTTATTTCTAATTTTGCCCATCTAAGTTATCTTATTATATGGGTTTTAATATGAAAGCTTGTTCCATAAAATATCATAGACTGGAATGCATCATAGTTTTGTCGGTCACATTTAGATGCTGTAAATCTGTGGTCTCTTTTCACAGGTGGGCCAATACAATCATTCAAAATATTGTTTTAAATTATGGACAGAAAAGTTTTGCAATTATGTGGCATGCAACATTGGTACACATAAGACAGAATTTGGGGCACTGTGAAGCTTGAAACAAATTAGTGAGGGGAAAAAGTATTTGATCCCCTGCTGATTTTGTACATTTTCCCACTGATAAGGAAATGATCAGTCTATAATTGTAATGACAGGTTCATTTTAACAGTGAGAGATAGAATAACAACAAAAAAAATCCAGAAAAACACATTCAAAAAAGTTATAAATTGATTTGCATTTTAATGAGTGAAATAAATATTTCATCCCCTATCAATCAGTAAGATTTCTGGCTCCCAGGTGTCTGAGATTAGGAGCACTCTCTTAAAGGGAATGCTCGTAATCTCAGCTTGTTACCTGTATAAAAGATACCTGTCCACAGAATCAATCAGATTCCAAACTCTCCACCATGGCCAAGACCAAAGAACTTTCCAAGGATGTCAGGGATAAGATTGTAGACCTACACAAGGCTGGAATGAGCTACAAACAGTTGGTGAGAAGGTGTCGACAGTTGGGTGCGATTATTTGCAAATGGAAGAAACACAAAATAACGGTCAATCTCCATGCAAGATCTCACCTCATGGAGTTTCAATGATCATGAGAACGGTGAGGAATCAGCCCAGAACTACACAGGAGGATCTTGTCAATGATCTCAAGGCAGCTGGGACCATAGTCACCAAGAAAACAATTGGTAACACACTACGCCATGAAGGACAGAAATCCTACAGCACCCGCAAGGTCCCCCTGCTCAAGAAAGCACATGTACAGGCCCATCTGAAGTTTGCCAGTGACCATCTGAATGATTCAGAGGAGAACTGAGTGAAAGTGTTGTAGTCAGATGAGACCAAAATCGAGCTCTTTGGCATCAACTCAACTCACCATGTAGTAGTAGGAGGAGGAATGCTGCCTGTGACCCCAAGAATACCGTCCCCACTGTCAAACATGGAGGTGGAAACATTATGCTTTGGGGGTGTTTTTCTGCTAAGGAGACAGGACAATTTCATGCATCAAAGGGATGATAGACAGGCCATGTACCATCAAATCTTGTATGAGAAGCTCCTTCCCTCAGCCAGGGCATTGAAAATGGGTCATGGATGGGTATTTCAGCATGACAAAGACCCAAAACAGACGGCCAAGGCAACAAAGAAGTGGCTCAAGAAGAAACACATTAATTTCCTGGAGTGGCCTAGCCAGTCTCCAGACCGTAATCCCATAGGAAATCTGTGGAGGGAGCTGAAGGTTAAACGTCAGCCTCAAAACCTTAATGACTTGGAGAGGATCTGCAAAGAGGAGTGGGACAAAATCCTTGCTGAGTTGTGTGTTGGCCTGGTAGCCAACTACAAGAAATGTCTGACCTCTATGATTGCCAATGAGGGTTTTGCCACCAAGTACTAAATCATGTTTTGCAAAGGAGTCAAATACTTATTTCACTCATTAAAATGCAAATCAATTTATAACTTTTTTGAAATGCATTTTTCTGGATTTTTTTGTTATTCTCTCACTGTTAAAATAAACCATTACAATTATAGACTGATCATTTCTTTGTCAATGGGCAAACATACAAAATCAGCCGGGGATCAAATAGTTTTTTTCCTTATTGTATAGGAACTTTGCAACATTCATGATCTACTGTTGCTTTCAGTCTAGTGAAGCCCGAGATTCTGAAACTTGTGGATTGAATCTGCAGCTGGAGCATTCATTTGAATTGGGTGAGTGTATAC